TCCCCTTCAGCAGCTTCCAAATGGAGTGGGTGCGACAGGCACCTGGCAAGGGCTGAGCTCATCTCACTAATTAACCCTGGTGGTAGCAGCACAAGCTACGCGCCGGCTGTCAAAGGGCGCTTCACCATCTCCAGGGACAACTCCCGGAGCACGCTCACGCTGCAGATGAGCAACCTCAGGGACGAGGACACGGCCACCTACTACTGCGCGAAAGCTGCTGGTGCTTATGGTGGTGGCCCCGAGCACGGCACCGTGCCCCAATATATCTTCACTTGGTCTCCAGATCCTAGAAACTTCCCCCAAAACCTTCTCATGAGCCTGGACCCCTGCAACCAAACCCAAATCCGTTCCTACAGCCTAGAGCACTGCCCCCAGCCCAGGCCGGTGCCCCCAGCCTCCACGTTCTCCACTGAGCCCAAACCCTTGGATGAAGCCCATGCCCCTGCCCCGGGCCTGGCCACCCCTGCGCTGTGTCCCAGCAGCTCCACACCTCCCTGGAATGGTTCCTCTGGGGATGGACCCCCCTTCCCCATCCCCTGCACCCACTCCAGGCCCCTTGCGCTGAGCCCAACCTCCCAGCTCCCATCCCAGTGCCTTGCACCACGCCCGGACCCTCTGGAGCCAGCCCGGAACACTACGCGATGGCGAGAGCTTTTGCCTGGATGCTTCCCTGAGCCTGGACCCTTGCACCAGCCTGGACCCCTGCCCCCAGCTGGGACCCCTGCACACAGCTCAGACCCTTTAAAACCCAGCCCAGACCCCTGCCCCCAGCCCAGATATCCCGGCACTGTGCCCCAGCAGCTCAGCGCCTTCCCAGAATCTCTGCAGTGAGCCAAAAACCCTTCCCCATGTGCAGGCAGAAGCTCCAGAGCCCAGGGTTTGGGCACCAAGCAAAGGTCTGGGCTGGTGACAGGGGTCCGGGTGTGGGATGGGGGTGCAGGGGTGTCGGGAAAATGCTGGGATCTGCGGACCCAGGGCGGGGATGTTGGGTCTGGTGCGGTAGAGGGTCGCAGCTATTAACAACGATGGTAGCAGCACAGCCTACGCGCCGGCTGTCAAAGGGCGCTTCACCATCGTAGTAGGTGGCCGTGTCCTCGTCCCTGAGGCTGCTCATCTGCAGCGTGAGCGTGCTCCGGGAGTCATCCCTGGAGATCCTGAAGCGCCCTTTGAAAGCCGGCGCGTAGTATTCGCCACCACCGTTGTTGATATACGCGATGTATTCGAGCCCCTTCCCGGGCGCCTGTCGCACCCATTGCATGTAGTGGTTGCTGAGGGTGAAGCCGGAGGCCTGGCAGAGGAGGGCCAGGGACCCCCCGGGTTTCTGTTCACCCCCTCCGGACTCGACCACCTGCACGGCCGCCCACAACCCTCGGGAGGGAGGAAGCACAGACGTCATTGCTGAGCCACTCTCCATCATCTACAAAAGGTCCTGGAGATCAGGAGCGGTGCCTGAGCACTGGAGGATAGCCAATGTCACTCCAGTCTTCAACAGGGCAAGAGGAGGACCCAGGGAACTACAGGCCAGTTGGTCTCACCTCTGTCCCTGGAAAGGTGATGGAATAGCTCATTCTGGGTCTCCTCTCCAAGCAAGTGGAGAAAAGGAAGATCATCAGGGGTACCCAGCATGGATTCACCAAGGGGAACTCATGCCTGACCAATCTGATGGCCTCCTACAATGGCATGACCGGCTGGGTGGATCTGGGGAGAGCAGCGGGTGGTGTCTCCCTTGACTTCAGCAAGGCGTTGGACACCATCTCCCATAACATCCTCGTAGGGAAGCTCGGGAAGTGTGGGCTGGATGAGTGGACAGTGAGGTGGGTCAGGAACTGGCTGCAGAGCAGAGCTCAGAGGGTTCTGATCGGCGGGGCAGGGTCTGGTAGGAGGCTGGGAGCTCGTGGGGCTGCCCAGGGCTCAGTGCTCGTCCGGGTCTTGTTCATCTTCTTCATCCATGGCCTGGATGAGGGGACAGAGGGGACCCCCAGCAAGGTTGAACCCCATGCACCCGGACAGGATGGGGGCTGAGCTGCAGGAAAGCTGCTCTGCTGAGAGGGACCTGGGGGTCCTGGTGGGCGACAAGGTGGCCATGAGCCAGCAGGGAGCTCTGGTGGCCAAGACGGCCAAGGGCATCCTGAGGCGCATGAAGAGGAGCGTGGCCAGCAGGGCGAGGGAGGTTCTCCTCCCCCTCTTCCCTGCCCTGGTGAGACCCCAGCTGGGGCTCTGGGTCCAGTTCTGGGCTCCCTGGTTCAAGAAAGATGAGGAACTCCTGGAGAGAGTCCAGAGGAGGGCAACTAGGATGATGAAGGGACTGGAGCATCTCCCCTAGGAGGAAAGGCTGAGGGAGCTGGGCTTGTTCAGCCTGGAGAAGAGAAGGCTGAGAGGGGATCTCATCAACACGTACAAATATCTCAAGGGCTGGGGGTCACGAGGACGGAGCCAGACTCTTCTCAACGGTGCTCAGTGCCAGGATAAGGGGCAATGGACATAACATGAAACATAAGAAGGTTCAGTTGAATATGAGGAAGAACTTCTTGACTTTGAGGGTGCCCGAGCCTTGGCCCAGGCTGCCCAGGGGGGCTGTGGAGTCTCCTTCTCTGGAGATCTTCAACCCCCTCCTGGA